TATTTGTGAGGACTAAGTGTTAGAACCCTTCAGCTCGTCTGTGGGGACTAACTGTTACACCAGATGCTGTTAGTCATTAAAGACATTATTGGTTGTGGCAGCCCCATTAGTCCCGAAAAGAACAAACCACACACCCTTTTAACACCCTTTCACCTTAGAGTATAGTTCAAAGTGCCGTTTCTTCAATAGTATCGCTTCAATGTGATCACAAGCACTATGTGTGTTTAAGAGCCACTCCACAATTAGGTCATTTCGGTCGCTACTTGCCTTCTTTCTACCGCTAAACTTTATCTCGCTAGAAAATAAAACTTAGAGAAACACCAAGCCTGCGTGGAGAGTGTAGGCGGCCCCAGCAAAAGTTGGAAGAGCGGCATTTGTCCATTACTTTCCAAAATTTTGGGGCTATTATTACAAGTATGCCTGTGAACTACCTACTACTCTAATAAATAATTTGGTGGCTGATGGCGATAGAAAATTGCAAAGAACCATTCGTAACGGGTAGGAAGCATTGAACGTCCCACTCGTAATGGGAGAACGATTTAAGCTTCCAACCGGGTCGGTTGCCTCTGTTTTGATACCCCCTGTGAGTTGTTTTTTGATGCCTTCTCTGTGCCCTCGACCTCGCAGCTTTGCGAATGGCTACCCAAGCGATGGACCCGGCTGTGCTTTGGTACCAGTTTTGCGCCAACGAAACCTGACCATTGAGGTCCACTTCAAGCAGAAAAAACTTCAGGATGCGTCCCCAATGCTCCGCGACCAGCGGCCGCGGCTTTAGGCCGCAACTCAGCAAAGCTAAGCTTCTGGTGCGCGCGACGACATCGCTCTTTCACAGGCATGGTGACTCGTGTGGGAGGAATCAACTTTATTGATAGAGAAGGTGCTGTCCCTTAAGTGGCTCCATGCGGGCAGCGACCCTTTCGGCCCAGGCAGCAGTAGCTCGCTGTCAGCAGCATTTTGAAGAGAGTAAAGTCATCATGGCCCCTCAGTACGTGACTCTGTGTAGCCAATGGTTGCGCGCTACAGATTTGGCAGATGGGGTTCACCAATCGGCATGTAATGAGTGACAGCCGGTGAAAACTAAGAAAAGAGTAAGTTGAATGCGGCGGAGTATCGTGGCCTGCGCTATCGTAAGGTCTTTATCAGGCGATAAATAGACGCGCTAATCACTTTTGCAAAAATTTGTCATGTCATTATTGAAAGTCGGTGCCTCACCATGAAAGATTGGGTCCGAGAGGCGAACCTCTTAATCTGTTAGACCTCGAGCTTCGCGGTGCGCCTCCTCGTCCTCTGAGTTCACCGAGTGGGCAGGGACTCATGCATATTGATAGATAACAGGGGCCAAACGCGGCTGCATGAAAGGGGAGGAAGAATTGAGATTTTCTGTGATGCTGGACTGGTGCCATTTTTCTCGTCAAATTCTGTGCGTTGTAAATAGATTATTATAGTAGTTACACCTAACATTATTGGTGAAGGTGGACGACCCCCGTACCTCGATGTAGACACACAGCTGTCCCACCATCAGCGACCTTTCGACCGCTTCGACGGCTGGTACTTCCTCTACGTCGCCCTCAACATTCCAAGACACCGCCTACGTCACACTCCTGCACCTTCGGGATCCCCGCACTTTTTCCGGTGATGGTACAATTTATCTTGACACTTGGCTTAACCGGTACGAGCATGTCGGTACTAGTCACCACTGGGATCCCACGCTCATGCTCGCCAACGTGCTTTTCTACCTGGACGGCACTCCCCGAACATGGTTTCGAAGCCACGAAGCCGACATAACGAGCTGGCAACTCTTCAAAGGAAAAACCCGCGACCTCTTTGGCAATTTATTTGGTCGTCAGATCGCTGCGAAGAAGACTCTTGCCCCACGGGCCCACTCGTCTACCGAATCTCACGTCTCCTACATTCTTGCCGTCTTGGCCCTTTGTTCCATGGCTGACCAGTGCATGTCCGAAGACGAAAAAGATAACCACGTCTTGAAAGGCCTTGCCGACAATGATATCAACCTGCTTGTTTTGAACAACGTCTAGAGCGTCGACACCATCCTTAAAAAATGCCGACGTCTTGAACAAGCTAAAACCCACCGCGTAGCCCAAAGCATCGTGCACCTTCCAAACACAGTGGCAACTTCTTCATGCGACGACGCTTTCCAACAGGCCCCTCGATTTGAAAACCTCACATGCATCAATCGTCGAGAGGTCGTGGCAGCACAACCAGTAGCCACGCCATTACCGACGCCTGTGCCTTCCCGACCACGATATCTTTGATACAAGCCGTCGTCCGTCATGAGCTATCGAATGTCGGCCGACATTCTGTTCCTGCCGTATACTCTACTGAGCCTTCATATCGACCCCATTCAGCTCCTCGCAGACAACGCAATCCATCCGAATGGCGTACCCTTGATTACCGGCACATATGTTTCAACTGTCGACGCGTTGGTCGTATCGCTCGTAACTGCCGCAGCCGCTGGGCTCCACCGTCATATTATGCACCTCAGTCTCACGCCACTTCTGTCCGCCAGTCGTCCCCATCACTTTCTCTATAAACACCGACCACAATTTTTGCTGCTGCAGGACCTCTGAGCAAACCTCGCTGCTTTTCTCAGACCACCGGTCGCCGTCCCTTGCTTGTCGTCAGTCCCGGTCGCCTTCACAACACCGTGCTGCCTCCCCGACCTATTCCCAGCACCTTCGACTGGAAAACTGGGCCGTGCCACTTCTGGAGGTGGAGATGCGCTGACGACCTTCATAAAAAAATTTTCGCTTAACGTTAACGAAGAACCTGAACCTTTAGACGCTACTGTCGACAATGTTCGTGTGAGTGCATTGATAGATATTGGTGCGCATGTGCCCATTATGAGTGCTAACTTTCACCACCAACCTAAAAAAGTAGTCACGCCCACCCTGAACCGGGCTGTACGAGTCGCCAATGGAAGAACTGCCGCGTTTCTTGGCATGTGCTCTGCGCGAGTTTTTATTAGGGAAAGAAGCACTGTCGTTCTTTTCGCCATTATCAAATATTGCCTTCATGAACTCATTCTTGGTATGAATTTCCTAGCCACGCACTTTGCCCTCATACACTTTTCAGCTGGCTCTCTCCATCTTGATTTACCTATCTTTTCCTATCTGACCATCCCAACGCAAATTAGCCTCTGCTGCATTGATTTCACGCGCCTCCCGCCTAACTCTGTCACACATGTCGACTTATCCTCCGCGCCGCCAGTACCTCATGGTGATTACATGGTGGCACCGATTCCTGCCATGATGCTTACACATGAGGTTGCAGTGCCGCATTTGATTCTGACGATTACGAGAAACCGAACTTTGCTTCCACTGTTCAACTTCTCACACATAAACCCAAGTTCTACCACAAGCTATCTCCCTGGCAAAAATTACCGCTCTCCAAGATGACCAAGCTGAGCCCTTTAGAATTGACGATTGCTGCAGCTCAGTCAGTGGTTCCACTCCATCACGTTCTTGGGGCGCCGACATCGAGCGAATGGTGTCATAGGACTTCACGTCTGAGCAAGCTCGAGCGCTGTGCCATGTTCTTGCGGGCTATTGTAGCATTTTGGACTTTGCCAGGAACTCTTTAGGCCCAACGACCATTGTCCCCCATCACATAAATAGTGGCCATGCAACTCCCATTCACTGACGCTCCTACCGTCTATCACGTCAGAGGGTGCAATAATACGACATAGAGTGGGCAAAATGCTTGCGAAAAACATGGTCGAGCTTTCATGCAGCTCCTCGGCTTCTCCAGTCGTCCTTGTTAATAAAATGAATGCAAAATGGCGCTTTTGTGTCGATTACCATCACTTCAACAAAACTACAAAAATACGTTTACCTTTTGCTCACATCGATGACGCCCTCGACTGCTTGTAAGGTGCTACACCATTGGCCTTCGGTCAGGCTACTAGCAGATAACCGTCGACGAGATGGACCGCGAGAAGACTGCATTCATCGCTTCTCATGGTCTTTATCAGTTAAAGGTGATGTCCTTTGGTCTCTGCCATGCACCAGCCCGATTTGAAAGAATGATAGACTCATTGCTCCAATGGCTGAAATGGTCTATCTGCTTGTGTTACCTTGATGTTTCTATTGTCTTTTCGCCCACATTCAACTCACGTTCCAGCGTTTGTCAGCTATTCTAGACTTTTTTCGTCGAGACGGACTCCAGCTTGACGCCTCCAAGTGCCACATCACTTGTCGTCGAATTTCCGTGCTCGATCATCTTGTCGATGCTCAAGGCGTGCCTCCAGACACAGAGAAAATTCGCGCAGTCACGAACTTTCCCGTTCCGAAGACCACAAAAGATATCCGCAGTTTTGTGAGGTTGTGCTCATATTTCAGACGCTTTGTTAAGGACTTTGCAACCATTTCACGCCTCCTCTTCGGGTCGGCAGTCTCCGGACCTTCCTCTTCTCCCTCCCCTACCGAAACCGCCCTACCGCAGCAGATAGGGAAGCTCAGGCGCCAGAACCAAATTCTTGTGCGCAAAATTCAGTAATTAGAAGCCAAGCAGGTTGGGTCATCCGAGCCAGTGCAGGAAGCCGAGGCAGAGGACGGGGATGATGGCTCTTCCGTCACATCTCGCCTCACTAGCGTCTCACGGCAGGACGCGGACACGGTAGTTGGACCAGCTTCCATTACCGCATTAATCGGTCGCATCGAGTCCCTAGAGCATAAAACCGAGCAATTAAAGGCGAGCGTGGCAGCCCTCCACACTCAAATCATGTCGGCAGTCCGCGAGTCCTTTCAGGACATGTTCACGGCAGCCTTAACGCAAGCACTTCCCGAAATTGTGGCGCAGGTCTCTAACTCAGTCCTTAAAGCCGTGCAGCCCTGCGTTATCGCCCAAATCGAAAACACCACTCAGAGCGACTCCCCGCAGGTTAAACGCAAGCCGGCCTCCCGTCAGGCAGCAGAAGAAGGCTTTTTGGGGCCGGCTCCAGGTCCGGACCGGTCCTCTGCACCGTAAATAAATACTAAAAGATGGCAAGCCAATCTAATAAACAAGCTAAATATCTACAAAAATTTGAGATTATACAATGGAACTGCAGGAGTTTTATAGCCTGGAAAAAACGGTCGCACCTCCAGCTCTACTTGCAGTACCTCAGAAACATGCCCGCCTTGCTTGCTTTACAGAAGCCTGGTTTGGACGTTAAATTCTCTGGCTATAGCACTTTCCAGGGGGGGCCTTCGTCATGCATCCTGGTGAACAAGGCATATACCGCGATTCAGGTTGATTTAAACTTATGTACTGAACAGGAATACACAATGGTCAGAGTACTGCCTCTCAGACGTCGCGACCAGTCAATACACATCCTAAATATATACAGCCCCCCGCATAAGCCACGCGTAACTTTTAGCGAAATCTTCCTCCGGGCGATCAGGTTTGCAGACAAGGACCCCTTAGTGATCGTGGGAGACTTCAATGCTCCCAGCCTTCACTGGGGCTATCACCACGAGAAGGCCAGAGGACGTAAGCTGGCGGAGCTTATCTCCGCCCTTCACCTCATGCTGCTCACGGATCCGGCGTACCCAACTCGAGTGGGGAACTCGGTAACCCGTGACACGTGTCCGGACCTCTCTCTCGTAAAAAATGTTAAGGATGCTACCTGGGAAAACTTGGGCGATTCTCTACGCAGTGATCATTGCCTTCTCCGCGTCACACTCTTGAAAACGTCAGCCATAAAAAATGCAGTCAAGCCAAGTTGACCGATTTGACCCAATTTCGCAATCACACTATCCCTACCGTACTATTTTCTGGAGGCTATGCAGAATTTCTGGAGGCTACGCCCGTAATAAACCCTTCCAGGCAACGTGGCTGTTTCGCGAGTTGTAAATTTTGTTAAACAGTTGTTATTTGTGAAACCAAATATCCGTGTGATCTTCCTGATCATTAAAAACACGTCGTATGCGATATAAACTATCGAGAATCAGACACGAGAGCAGACAATGCGCAAAATATTAAAAACGAACTCCAAAGGGCTCTTAATGACCCATGCTGTTTTATTGCACGCGTCTTTCTTTGCACAAAAATTATTCTTGAAGCTTCAATGCACAAATGAAGCAGTGTAGAATTGCAGCTAAGTTAGTCTGCTTAGCTTGAAGTGTTGTGCTGCCTTTCTCTTTGACAACACTCTTGCTTTGTTCAAGCCTTTGATAAAAAATGAAGTCATGGGGTAACATACAAGCTGACAATGCGAGGAGTGAGACTCTACGTGAGCTCTGCATCCCACATTCGAGGAAGCGGCACAATGAATTATGTGCAGGATGTCTAAGATGCTCTCCCAGTGAACTTTTCATGCACTAAAATGATTTGTGAAAATATCTTCAAGCCTTGATACAGCGAAAGAGTTCTACTGACGGGTAGAGCAAAGCGCCCTGATCATTGTGGCGTACAAATGCTGCAGCATGCAAGCGGCGCCCTTCTTCTGGAAGGAGGAGTCTGTCAATACATATAGGTCAGCCTTGAGTCGCTTCTTTGGACGCAGTACTCATCCACAGATTCACTGTCACAAGAATATGAAGCTCCCGCTTGCTTTTCCGTGCAAAGCTTAATTTTGCCGATAAGCTGTTGCTTTGGGGTTTCTTCCCTGTCCCCAACGTCAAGAAGAAAACTGATCACATCGCCTTCTACAATCTCGCCTGCAACACTGTGTGCAAACTTATAAAAAGAGAGACAGTGAGCAGAAACTGCTGTGGCGTCGGGTGAGATTTTCAGCCGGATAAAAGTCTCATCATTCCGGAGAAGTTTTCTACTTTATCTTGGCTCAGCCTGGATGTCAACAATTAGCGAAACCCAACTTGCTCACGCAAACAGCGAACGAGCTCTAGAGCACTTGTTAAAGTGACTCTTAAGCCCTCAGCACAAGACTCGCTGAGAAACTTCTTTTTATCTGCAGGGCGCTCCCAGGCGTCCAAGAAACTGAGCCTTTTCTTAATGGTTTTCTCACCTGCCAAGTCAGGTCTGAGAGCCTCGGCTGTGTAACTTGCTGTCATCACAGCAATCAGTGACTTCATTCTCGTGAATAACTTCTCGGTCGCATCAATTTTACTACAGCGAGTCGAGGGAACATGGAGTAAAACATACTCCGTCTGCGTCGTGAAGATATAGTAGCGTCCAGCGCTTCCCAGGCGTTTTGAGTTCCATCACAGCAGTGACAGTCGCGGACGCACAGACTTCGATGCTGTTTGTAGGTTCGTCAGCGTCTGTCACCTCTGCAATCTCCCCACGTGTCTTTTTTCGTTGCGGGACATCGTCATTGCGCTTACTTTTTCGCTCATTCCTCTTGCGAGTGGGTTGTTTGCTCAGGTAAGCTGGCAGACTCAGCAAAATTGTGGGGACGGCGTCCGGAGTAAGCGTAGGCGTCACACGAGGAATGCGAACTTCCTCACCATTTATGCGGTGTACGTAGTCCCTGACAATGAAGCACTGCTCAAAATGCTGGTCACATACCGCGCAGACTGCGGTTTGCGGCTTGTAGGCTCTATGTAGGTTTTTTTCCAACGTGGATCTCTGTTCCGGGTCTGCAGGCGCCTTGAATATCGACAGCTTCTTCGTGCTGTTAGTTCGCGCATATCCTGTGCTGCAGCCTGGAGCACAGCAGTGATTCATACGTTGCTTTTCACACATTGACGCAAGTGGCCACGTTCACATAAGTACAGGCACTAAACGCTACCATGCAGAACAAAAAGCCAGAACGAAATGCAGTAGACTTGCGCGCCCACACCGATAGCTTTCAAGAGTGGTCGACGACAGTGCCATTACTTCGGGTTCCATTCACTGTGACACGCGAAGCAAGGCGGCGCCCCCTCCGCTCATTGCACTGAATTCTTTTAGTTTACTGTAGCCCGGGCGCGTATAATCTCTGGAGTTCGCCAAGGTGGCTGTTAGGGCACCTCTCGGTCTGGGCGAGTCAAGCTTCGGCTCCATCCCGCGCTGGCATGTCCGGGCACGCTACGCTGCGCGGGCCCACGTCACAGCGAAGCGCCATTTCTCTTTGGGCGTGCGTAACATCCTCCTCTCATACGAGCTATGTTCCGCCCGACAATTTGCTCTTCCCGGCAGATGCTCTCAGGCCTCCACGAGAGGTTGATGGGCTGCTTAGCAGGCGGCTTCTCGTTCGTGCGTTCGACTTCGGCCATTGTGCGGGAGTCGTCACGCCCAAGGCAAGCGTACTTGCTCGGTCTTACGGAGTTGCCTGTACGGCCTGCAAGCCCGTTAGGTTCGCACTGTGCGGCATCTTGGGTTAATAAACCCGCTGTTCTTGTTTTCCTGCTCCGTGCGTGTTTTCTGCGCAGTGTCGGCGAAAATGACGAACCCGGTGGCAGCGTCGTCGCACGCAGCGGTAGTGGAGGACGTAGCATCCTTACACACTTGCGCTTAGTAGGTAAGCGTAGTGCAAACCAATCTCCACATAACTGGCACCCCACTTGGTTTCGGCATGGCTTCAGAGAAGACCCTTTCGAGGCACTCGTTCCTGTTCGATCCTGTGGCGACGAACTTGATCTCGTTCGAGGCGGACGGCTGCAACAGCATGAGGTACGGCCCTCTCGGGGACCCTCTGCTTTCGTTCACCGGGTGAGATCCCTTTTTGGGGGCCCTCTACAGTGATGCGCGTCGCTTGAACGAGAACCACAGTCCTAGCCAAGCCAGTAACGGGCTGTATCAGCTGTTCGAGACTCACGCGCTTACGGGCCCATCCCCGCCGCCGTCTCCGCTCGCTGGCATTCCCCGTCAGCAGCACGTTTGACAGCTCAAATCGCCGCACCCAGTCCTTCCTACCGGGAGCACTCATGTGTTGGCAGGAACGCGCTTACCGACCCGTCGTGGTCACGAGCGCGAAGGGTTGACGATGTCATTCGCGAGCCTGCTCGCTTAACCGACAACGTCACCGCGTTCACCGACGCTCGCTGACCTGAGACTCGCGTAGGCGACGCTTTCGACAAACGTTGGCTACCGTGCTCCACTGTCGACTCGTTCGCGAGTCGCGTCAGGCCTCAAGCACCAGTCAGAGCACGAACGTTGCCCTCCTCCATGCCGTGCACTGGCCCGTTTCGGTCGGGACGCGCATGTTGTGGAACAGGCGCGCGCACCTGTTGCGGCCGCGCCCGCCTCGGAGCAATGACCGCTGCACGCATCTTCGGCGCAGCTCCTGAACGTTCTGTTATAAGCGATGCGCTCTCAGCCTTGAGATTTAAAGGGAGACCCCGAGTCTCTCATCCAAGCGTTTCGAGTAGCTTAAGGGTACCTCTGCCGGAGTACAGCGGTTATTCGGTCCGCATCTGTGCCACAGAGAACCTCCAGGCGCTGCACCACTATCAGCAGGCTACGTGGCTGAGCGACAGCGTTATGCTAGGCTCTGTATTGCCCGTGTCCCTGACAGCCCAAACGGCAAGGTGGTATTGGCTCGTCGGCCACCAAGCTCGCTCGATGGAGGAGTTTAGGGCACTCTTTTGTTACGAATTCCTTCCTCCTGAATACAAGCGCCGCATGCGTCGCGAGTTAAAGCTTCGCACACAGCATTCCGACGAATCTCTTCTCGAGTAGGTTCGGGCTTTGCAGGAGCTTTACCTCTTTGCTGATCCTACGGCGTCAGACACCGAGAAGGTGGAGTGAGCCATACGTCAGACTCATACAAAATTCACCGCTTACCTTCGGATTGCCCGTTATCGTGACCTAAACGAGCTGGCATCCTATGCGAAGAGTATTCAGGGCGACGTTTAGTGGCGTGAGCGCATCACCCGCCGCCACCGCCGTCCGCGTCTCTCGAGCCTCGTTGCGCATGGGCTGGTCGGTACTCGTCACACTTGGGTTCCCCGAACCACGAGGCGTCCTCTGCCGCGAGAGACCGAGACGCGCTCGACGTGTCAGACCGTGCTCTGGATCCTTACTCGTACGCCCGGGTGGCCACCATTGCTCGGCAGCGTGAACAAGAATGTAAACCCTGTGCTCCAGTGCACGAGGGGATATCCGATCACGGAGCCCCCACTGCGGCTAGCGAACAGACACCTCGTAGCTATAAAGAATCGCCAAAATCCCCCATTGTTGGAGGAAAAGGCGTTGTCTGCTTTCGTTGCGGTGAGCGTGGTCACACCGCGCGTGAGTGCAACTCGCCCCAACCGACACAAGGGCCTGCTCGCCAGTCGGGAAACGGGGTGAGCCGTCGGTGAGCTCCCCCTTGCCGGCGGCTGCAGCAGTAAGAGAGCACGGCCGTGTAACACAACCTCTGGCATCGATGACATGATATTCCAGCCAGGCCGGCACCGTTCATCGCCCTTACGATCGCTGGTCGAGAGTTTGCGGCGCGCGAACGCTCTGTCCACATTCGAGCTTGCGACACTGCCTTCCACCTCGCCAGCGGTACCGCCACCTTTTGCGGCGCTGCGTGGTTGGTTGTGCGTTGGGACAATCTCGCACGCCGAAACCGCTTTGTGCATCTCCCTAGTCTTTGCTTGCCTGTGATTCTTGGTCACGACTTTCTCGCGCGCACTGGTATTGTGATTGACGTCGCAAGTGGAGGCTACAGAAACGGCCCTTCCGGCGCCCTACGGCCTTTCGCTGCACCCCCCGTGGTCCCGGCTGCCAGTAAGGTGCCGGAAGCCACGAGGAAAAAGGAGGAAAGGAGACCACGCATTGCACCCGAAGCTCGGGTCTCCCCATCCGACGCCAAGACTGGTCCTCTGGCCGGTGCAGCGGAAAACGGTCGGTGCGTACAGCTTTCCCTCGAGCATAATGCTTCCGCGGTGAACGAGGTCTAGGCTATGCGGCTGACCCCTTCGCTAAGCAACAACTCGAACGGCTCGCTGCCGCCTTTGCCGGACAGATTGTCCAAACGCGAGAAAGCATGCCTGTCATCGCTGTTGGCACGTTTCAGTGACACGTTCCCAGAACGCCCGGGTTGCACCTCTCTAGTGAGGCACCGGATTGACTTAGGCGACGCAGAAATGCAAATGCATTCCTCGTCCCGTTAGTGCAGCAAAGAGGAAAGCTATTGACCAGGCACTGGAGGAGTTGATTGAGACCGGAGCTGTCCAACGCTAAAACAGTCCTTGGCGTTCACCGGTGGTAATCGCCCCCAAAGTAGACGGCTCTCACCAGCTCTGTGTGGACTACCGTCGGCTGAACGAGTTCACGAGGAAGGGTGCTTATCCTATGCCCAACGTTCACTCAATCGTGGCTGCTCTAGGCGGTGCTTTCTACTTCGGCATCTTGGATACTAGCCACGGTTACCTACAGGTTCAGATGGAGCAGGCTGACGCGGAGAAAACTGCGTCCACCTCTCACAGAGGTTTGTACGAGTTTACCCGCATGCCGTTTGGCTGTTCTGGAGCTGCAGCTACATTCCAGAGATTGATAGACCGCGTTCTAGGGGACACTAAATGGCAACACGCCATGGCGTACCTCGATGACATCGTCATCTTCTCTCGAACGTTCGAGGAACACTTTCACCAATAGGAGGACGTCCTCGGGAGGTTTCATGCCGCCGGGTTGAATTTGAACCCGAACAAAGCTCAACTAGCTGAGACTCACATCTCACAATTAGGCTTTACCATTCAGAGCAGTCGTGTTCTGCCGTGCGAGGAGAAGGTACGTGTCATTGTGGAGTACCCGACTCCGGCAAACATTCAGGGCCTGAGGTGCTTTTTGGGCATGGTGAACTGCGATCGAAAGTTCTACCCAAATTGTGCGGCTCTCCAAGCATCCTTGACTGCACTCTTTAAAAAGCCGGCCCGATGGAGCTGGGGGCTAGAACAAGAGCAAGCCCTCAAGGCGCTTTCCGAAGCTCTAGTGGCAGTGGCCACAGCTGAGTTAACGCTGCCCGACTTGAACAGGGTGTTCGTAGTCCAAGCGGACGCGAGTGACCTGTGTCTCGGCGTGGTACTGCTTCAGGAGCACGACGGCGTCCTTCGGCCAGTCGCCTTTGCGAGCCGGTCATTTGACGCCACCGAGCGTAACTATAGCGTCACAGAGAGGGTATGTCTCGCTATAGTTTTTGCTCTCCGGAAGTTCGACTGCTATGTTGAAGGCGTGCCATTCGTGGTGGAAACGGACCACTTGGCACTCACCTGGCTTAAGCGCTTGCGCGAGCCCTCGGGCCGCATCGCGCGCTGGGTGATGACGTTGCAGCGGTAAAACTTTGTTGTGCGCTACAGGAAAGGGAGTTCGAACGTCGTGGCTGACACCTTGTCGTGTGCCCCCATTTCGGCGTCCTGCACTTGTGTCCACTACTCCCGAGAGCAGTCACATCAAGTAGACCCCGGGCCCTCTAACTACAAAGAGTCAAAAGGCGCGAACCGCGATGGCGAAGTGACTTTCAAGTCGACAGCATCAGGTGAGGACGCATACCTGGTAGACCCTGTCACGTCTACCGGTATCGTCTTTAGCAGAGAGGAGCTGCTTAAGGCGCAGTAGGATTATCCGTTTTGTCAACACATCGTTGACGAGTTCAAAGAGCTGACCTCTCAAGCGAAGCGTGGCGGTCAAGCCACCGGGCACGAACAGACAGCTGGTATTGCTGTCGGCGCAAAGTGCCGTACGCAGGCTGGTATTGCTGCAGGAACGTTGGACTCGTACCTGCTTGATGCCGATGGCAATTTCCTGCGCTACATCCCATCTGAAGAAGCTCCCCAGAAGTCTTTCAAGGTGGTTATACCCCGCAGTCTAAGAAAAGCCACCCTAGGCTATTTCCTCGACTCGCGGTTAGCTGGACGCGCGAGTGGCCTTAAGACTTTTCAAAAGTTGTGCCACTCCGCAACCTGGCCTGGCGCAAAGCGCGACGCCCTTCACTATGCCCGCTCATGCCGCGTGTGCCAAAGCGTGAAAGCCTCGCGGGGGCAAGCCTCCCGCGCTTATGCAGCTGATCGACAGCCAACAACCTTGGCAGGTCGTGGCCTGTGACATTACGGGACCTTCCCGAAGAAGCCGGAGAGGCCATGTTTTTCTCCTGGCTGTCAAAAATCCCTTCACGAAGTAGGTGGAACTGTTTCCCCTTCGAAAGTTAACGGCACGCGCAATCTGGGACAAGTTGACCGAGGTATTTACCCGCTTTAGCTTTCCGGCGGAGTTGATCACGGACAATGTGTCCTATTTCAGGGCCAAGGTGTTTGGGGATGCGTGTGCTGCCTTTGGCTTTAAGCACGATAAAACAACCGCGTATATCCCACATGCCAACCCGACCGAGCGGATCAACCGGAACTTCAAGCCCTTGCTGACAACCTTTGCACAGCAACACAGGAATCGGGAAGTCTGTCTCAACGAGATAGGCTTCTCCTTGCGCTCTGCGATCAATCGCTCGACAGGGTACACGCCCGCCTTTCTCAACTTTGCGAGGGAACTGCATAACCGCATGGACGAAGTCCTGCGGGGCGGTGGCGGGGCAAGCGCCGGGAAGGTCAGCCCGTCTGGCTACGCGGTGGAACTGTGCTCACGGATGGACGTGGCCTTCGACCTGGCGTGTTCCAACTTTGCAAAAGCGCGAGCTTGTCAGAAGGCTCAATACAACTGGTCGCATTGGGATGTCGGTTATGATGTCGGCGATCTCGTCCTAAGGCGCAATCCCGTCTTGAGTGACACCGCCAAAAGCATCTCGACGTCCCTTTCGGCCATATGGTTGGACCCATACTGAGTGCACATCAAAGTGTCGCCCCTAGTATACAAGCTGAAGACCAGTCTGACATCCAGTTAACGTCTCAAACCTCAAACCTTTCGTTGCCCGCAGTAACAACTTCGGGGAGGGGGAGGCGTTTACCGAACAGCAGGGAAACCAGAATTAGGCTGGTTCCAAACCACGCCACTGGTACCACCTGCGAAATTGTACTTAGGCTGATTTTTGCCCCAGGCATGTAGCGGGACGTTATTACTTCCATGCAATGGAGCAGAGATTATATCTGCTGTGCCAAAGTCCATCCAGCAGCAACAGTAACGGCTACCTGGTGAGCTTTCTCCCTGGGAACACCATTACACACGCTGCGCGCAGAATATCCACCCAGTTCCGAGCGCTCCCGGGTGCTTGAGAGTGAAAAGCCCTTTCCCCGGTGGCTCACTCTATGACAGGGTATTTTCCGCGTAGTTAGCGGGAGAAGGGAAACGTGCGCCGTATTTGCTCACGCAACCTTCAATATGACGGAGGAGGCTCTTTTTATTGGGTCAGTCTGTCGCGCCTCCGCGGCCGCACTTTCAGTTGCATTTCGGCTTTTCACCGACACCCCAGCTTTTGTTATGTCCTCCTCGATGACCCATTCTTCCAAGAAAAAGCCCGGGAGACCAGCCGCGCACTCGGTCGTTCCGCAGGCACCGGCCACGTCCATGCTGCCTCCATTGAATGCTTCCTCGGCCCAGGCTAACAAGACACCACCTCGTCGTGAAGTCGCTACGTGGACGTTCCAACAAGGCACTGAGGCCCCGGTCGCCTTCAGGACCACTTGTCGCTGGTCCAACCAACGCAAAGTCTGAGTGGGGTCAGACCCCTAGTTCGTCCTGCGTCCTTTCCGCGGACGCACCCTTTCGGACCTGCTCGACGCTTCCAGAGGTGCCTCGATGCCGCTTGTTGCTGAGGCCTCCTACAGCGACGCTTGCGGTGTCCTGCTGTAGCACGAGGCTACCCACCTCCGTTCGTGGGTTTACCGAACGATGTCCGGTGGTGCCCCTGCGGTATTGTCCACTCCAGCGGTGCCGCCTGGCTCGGGCATTCAACCTGCCCTGTCGACTGACTCCGTTCAGGCGGTCGTAGCGGTGCTCGACACAGACTCTTCATTCAAGCCAGCCATCGCTACTGCGGTGTCTGCCGCCCTCCCACGGCCCCAGGTTTCTGCTGAGATGCCACCGAATGAGGACACCGGGGCCCCCGACGATCTCGTGGACGGCATTGAGCTGGACCTCTGTTTTTTCGGTGTAGGTGGATGCTTTCATTTAGGCGTCTTCAGGACCGCCTCGGTCTTAGGAGGGGAATGTGGGAATCGAGAGCACCCCCCTACCAGGCGCCTTGTTCCCCAGCAGCCGTGCGCAATCACCGGCATTTGCCAAACTGGCTGTCAGGGCGCCTTTTGGTCTGGGCGAGTCAAGCTTCGGCTCCGTCCCGCGCTGGCATGTTTGCGCATGCTACGCTGAGCGGGCCTACGTCACAACGCAGCGCCAATTTCCTTCGGGCGCGCGTGACAACCTCCTCTTTCACGAGCTATGTTGCGCCTGACGATTCGCTCATCGCGGCAGATCCGATTCGCTCGAAGGATTTCAAGTTGGACGGACGTGCCTTCGCGATCGCCAACGCCAGCGTAGCTCCCGCCGACTGGTTCGCCCTTCACGGTTTCCTGGCGCCGTGCAGCTCTCGCATTGTGGTGCCCCGCCCTTAGACTGCTTCGAGTGGATCCCCACTTTCCTACCTCCTTCTATTTTTCATCACTTGCCTCTCTATTTCTTCATATATTTCCTTCTATTTTTTTTATCCCTCCTTACCCCCCCCCTTTAAGGCACCACGCCGTGCCACCCCTGAGGCAGACAGAAATTAGGTGCCTTTTCCTTTTCCTTACAACCTCTCACCACCACGCCATCAGATGCTCTCAGGCCTCCACGAGAGGTTGACGCGCTGCTTAGCAGGCAGGCGGCTTCTCGTTCGTGCGTTCGACATCGGCCCTTGTGCGGTTGTCGTCGCGCCCTAGACAAGCGTACTTGCTCGGTCTTGCGGAGTTCTATGTTCGGCCTGGAAGCCCGTGCGTGTCGCGCTGTGCTGCATCTTGGGTTAATAAACCCGTTGTTCTTGTTTTTCTGCCTCGTGCGTGGTTTCTGCGCCGTGTCGGAGAAAACGACGAACCTGGCCGCAGCCTCGTCGCACGCAGCGGGAGTGGAAGACGTCGCATTCTTACACGGTTGCGCTTGGTAGGTAAGCCTCGTGCAAACCTATCTCCACAGATTGTTCCAACCAATTCAACAAAGTCATTGTCAGCTCCGATCGACACCGTTCACGTGGCTCGGCTAAAGGCCTATCACCCCCCCCCCCTTCGACATCATCTGCGTAGATTTAGCACCGGGAAGGTGCTTCTACCGCCGGGGGTTCTGATACACGATAGCCGCTAAACGCGGCTGCATGAAAGAGGAGGCCGATGTGAGTTTTTGTTTTATGGTAGACTGGCACCATCGTGCTCGTTGAGTTCTGTGCGTTGTAAATAGATTAATAAAGCAGTTACTCGTAACAATATTAATAAATTGTCTAGTTAGGGTGACAGTTTTTTTAAATCTTGGCAACTCGGTTGTTGATTCTCTCCTTCGAGAGAATAATTGTGGCTTTTTTCGAGTCAGCTAATATGGTTCGGGTGGAGGCGCTCGTAAGGGGGAAAGCAATGGTGGTCTCTACAGACTCCACAGCGGAGGGCACCTGTACCGAGGTGGCGTTCGTAATCTGTCCCCCTCCGGTCTCCACGCTTACGGTATACCATTGGTCATTGTGTTTGCAACTCGAATGAAATGTTCAGAGACGGAAGAATCTTCCGCCTCCAGTTGCTCTTGAAAACATCGAACACCGTCGTCTTCACACAACTCGTAGACGACGTGGGAGAAAACTGGCACCTCCAGCTTCAGCTTCGCCACCTCTCCACGCCTCTCTCCACAACCGGACGTCGATATATCATCGTAACTCGTGTCACAGCCCATGGCCCATCCTACAGAAGAGGAAGACTGCGGTGGCACCATTTTTTCCGCCAAGTGAGAAAGAAAGCCAAATTTCTTTGTTCAACCCATGACACCATCGGGGCTTGCTTGTCTAGCTTCCCGGCCACTCGATGCGTGCGCGTCAATTTTCGACGCAACGTCACGGGTGTGGACATCTGCGATGAGGTTCTTCAACTGTTTAGATTGTGTACACTTCGTTGGGTCAGTGACGACAACGTCCGTACTACAATGGCGAGGTCATTTTACATGCGAATGCATTTTGTGGGTTCACACAGACTTTTCCAGCCGCCGAAAGTGCGCCAAATTTGATTCGGCGGCGGCGAGTTACGCTGAGAGGGACATCTCCAGACCGACAGCTCTCGAACCAATTTTTACCGCGTCGGCCGCTGAATAAGTCACCATGAACCAATAGGAGCGCTAGTAAAAAGAAATGGAAAAATGGCGGTCAAGCCCTACTTCCTCTTCATGTCGCAGTGCACGTAACAGAAGGCTGTAACCAACAGGAGTTTAAAGAACTTGGTGTTTGTTTCACGTCTCCATTTTGTGGACGAGGTGACCGAGCTTGTCGTTTGCGAGATCAAGCTTGTCGCAGTCTTGCAAAGCAAGATAAACCTGCCACCATTGATGGCGTCAGTGTTTTTTAATTATGAAGCAGTTTTAGCAAACTACAGCGACTTTGAGCGTATCAATCCATCTATCAGCTTACAACTTTTAGCTCTCTTTGCAGTTTCGGTAATGGAATCAATACCGAACTTAGTATGCAATAACATGACTGTATGACGAGAAGCAGTGACTAGACATAGCTTGAAAATCATGATATGTTTGTCATGAAGGTCATGATTTACAATTCGTGGTCTTGCTGCTCTTGGGGTGATTTCGTTCACAAGACATGTTGCAAAACTGGTATGGTATGACATGATTGCATGGCGAGAGAAAGTGACAGACCCTAACATAAAATTCATGTCATGCGTGTCATGTAACAACATGACTATATGCCACAACAAGGATGCGCTTGTGGCTGTATCGCTAGCTTCACATATACTAAATTTGGTATTACGAGACGTGAATAGATGACGAAGATATGTCACTGATGCAAACATGATATACATGAGATGCGCGTCATGTAAAAACATGACTACATGCCACGCTGATAATGCGCTCGCGGCCGTTTTGCTAACTTCACATATACCTAATTTGGTATTACGTGACATGAATCAACGACAAAAGTATGTGGCTGGTGCAAATTTAATAATCATGAGATACGCGTCATGAAACAACTTGACAACATGCCACGCTCACGATGCGCTTCCGGCCGTTTGGCTAGCTTCACTTCTACAAAATTTGGTAATACGGGACGCCAAACCAAGACGAAGGTATGTGACTGATGCAAGCGTTATAATCATCAGGTGTGTCATTTAACAACGTGACAACATGCTCTCGCGACCGATGCGCTCGCGGCTGTTTTGCAAGCTTCACATATTCCCAATTTGGTAGTACGTCACGTGAACGGATGTCGAAGGTATGTGACTGGCGTAAACATGATAATCATGAGATGCGTTCGTGTAGTAACGGTACTACATGCAACACTGAAGGCACCAATGCACTTTGACCTGGCCCGGCGCGCGCGCGCGCCGGCGTTCGTTTTGTCGCGTCACGCAGGCAATGTCACGACAGGCGCCGATTTGCCTGCCATATACTCACAGGCGCGTGTCGCTCTGCGTTGCTTTGACGAATGCGCAATTGAGTGCGCCCGCCGCCTCTCCATCACGATGAGAGGCAGACGCAGTGCAGTGCTGTATGTGTAGAGCTGGGTAACGTCATAGGCGCAAAATGCAGCATGTTCTATTTCGCGCGGTTGCTGCCGGGCTGCGCCGACGGACGCTGGTCGCACCGGTCGTGCCTGGCCTCGCGTTCTGCTCGCGTAGCTTCACTGCGCCCAGCGTGCGCGCGTGGGAGCGTTACGCC